GAAGACCCAGCAATTCCAGATCAGGGGACCTAGTCTCATATGAGCTGGCTCTACAAGACTGCCAAGGCTTTGAAAGCTATGAGTATTTTAGACAGTATAGACTGCCACAGATAGAGTGATATCCAAGGGCCACTGCATACACAGCATGACCTTGGTGGTGGTGGTAGGGTGGAACCAATTTGATGTCATTGAGTTGGGCCAGAATTGAAAATGTATGAATCTCATGGCACCTTGAGAAAAGGCCTTTCCTGAAAAAGCATTAGTATCTTCCTCTGCAAAAATGGGACTGCAACTAGTATTATTACTACGGAATACCTCAATTGTTTTATTTTGTAGATGTAATAGGTTTGTTGCCCAATGTATATGGCAAGTAGTATGCCAAGACACCAGATTGCAGCAGAGAAAGAAGTTTAATTGCCGGGCCACCTAATGAGGAAATGAGAAGAAGCCTCAAATCTGTCTTTCTGAGTTGTTTAGGGCTGGGGTTTTTAAGGGTTTTGGAGTTGGCTGAGGTGTGGAGATAGATCAGTGATTGTTCCAAGGGTGCAGGATGAAGACGTGGTATTTTCATCCTGATTTGAGTCCTCCTTGGGGGTCTTTAAATTGGTTGGCATCAGCTGTTCTGCAGGAATTCAGAATCTGCTTAAGCAGTTCTTAAACAAAATCCTTATAATTTTAACATCAGAAATCAAAAGTATAGGAACAATTGGGGCACGAATGGCCGGTATCTAGTGTTATGTGACTTCTGGTTACAAGGAAGTGGTTCAAAGTGCAGTCTGGCTAATGCTTAATTATAACTATATTTCTGTCCAGAATTCTTGTTAACCCTGTGAGGACAGTTTCAAAAGGCTTTGAAAAAAATAGGGACATGTTAGTTTTTATTATGAATTAGTTGGGGAAAAATTCCACCTTTGATGTCTTACATTATTGATTTCTTTGGGTTCCAGAGCTAAAGACTTCCACATGTGAATGTAAACCTGTTAAAGTCTTAGCCCAAACACTTTGATCCGTTAGCGTGTATAGGGTTCTGTCAGTTGGCCCCCAGGGCCCAATGGGTGTTAATAGAGGCAGGCATGGAAGAAAGTGGTTCCAGACCTTAATGGTAGGAGCCAGGGGGCACTGAGATCCTAGCTGTGGGCCTTAAGTGAGATGAACCCAAGCACCCACTTCACCATCTTGCTTTGATACAACCCGGGAGGTGCAACTCTTACACAGAATCACAGGTCTAAAATCAAATGGAGTAGCAGCTGTTTCTCACTACCAGGCTTCTGTTTGATTCCACATTTGTCTGTTTATTTGTTTCATTGGCTTTTAGGCAGAGAGCATTCTGTAAAATATTAGGAATAGAAAGATGGAGCACTGAAAATGCAAAGGCACAGGATATAAATCAGAACCACTTGTTACTCTTGTTTCCTTATCAGTGATACGGACTCTCAGGCATACTCTCAGAGGCTTGAGAAAGCCCTTCTTAAGGACATTGAACCTTAATGAACAGACAATCCTCCATCAGCTGGATCCTGGTTACCAAGAAATGGAAACTGGGCCAAAAATGTACACACTGCCCATGTGCAAAATCCTCAACGAAACAGAGAAGCTGGCAACAAAGGATAAGTTACCCTCATGGGCTCATTTTTTCTAAACACTCCTTAGTTTAAGAAGCATTCTTGTTATTAATTACTTAAACAGGACTTTCAATTTTATATAAATGTTAGTTAATATTGACTGGACAAGACTTAGAATTTTTTTTTCCATTTAATTAAGAAGCTAAAACACCAGGGTAATTATTAAATCAGTGTAAAGATCAGAGGATTTAAGAGTTTAATTCATCTAAATAGCTCCCCTTTAAGAGCTCATTCTTGAAGTTATTTTTTACAAACACCTCAGAGATATTTTCCTTTGTAAAACTCCTTTCTTTTCATTTTAATGAAATCTGTTGTTTCGAGTCTTGATGAGAAGACCTCAGAAAGTGAGAATCACTGAGAGGTTGCCTGGCACCTTATTAATAAAATTTTGGGGGAAGTATTGACACATTTCAATTTTCTTATTAATTTGGGACAAGTCCAAACTATTTGAGTGTGTCAACGAAGAAGAAATGCGATATTAAAAAAAGAAAGGTAAAAAGATAGAAGGTATTTTGTATGCCCAGAAACAGCACTAAGACATTCACATTTACTGACATCAACAGCTTCCAATTCTGACAGTGTCAGAAAGGGAATTTCAATGGCTGCTTTGAAATAACCGACATTTTACACCACAATGAAATCTGTGTTTTAATATGTCACTAACATCAGATGAGATGAGATAAGATAAGACAGCACAGCACAGCTCAACACAGCACAACACAACACACTGCTTCTTTCATTTAAAGCAGGCACTTCAGCCTAAAATGCAGACTTCCGAGTCCATTAACCCACTTGAGATGAGCAGGGAGACTGCATGCTGGGTGAGCAATACCAAGGAAAAGCAACTGTGAGTCAGTTCTCTGAAATAGAATTGATCTGATCAGTACGCTACCAGCAATGTTTTGGAAATGGCCAGACTACCAATAGAAAAGAAAAATAAACTAAAGAAACTAAAATGTTAATGTGTGTTTACAAATAAATCATGGTTGTTTAGACAAAAAGCTGATAGCTGGGACTGAGGGGCTCGCTGGGACTGAGGGGCTCGCTGGGACCTCTTCACAGACCTTGAGGATGTTGCAGAAAAAAGAGAGAGGTGTTGTTTGGGAGCTGCTCACCTCTGTCCTAATATAGGGCACCGGTTCGTGTTCCAAAGGCAGACGGTGTGGGAGGCCATGAAAGTGCCTGAGTTCCGTGGTCAGACACCTGGTGTTGGATCCTCTACCAACTCTGTGACTGGAAAGTGAGTTAACCTCTGTGAGTCTCAGTTTCTTCCTCTTTATTTATTTTTTCCTAGATTATTTTCCCAAAAGATCTCAATAATAATACATACTTCTAGTAGCAGTGTTAAGAGTACTCCATTCCTTATATCTTTGTTAATCTGATGAATGACTCAAAGCATTTGATTTTCTTTTTAATCTGTTACTAATTGAGCATTTTTTTCATACGTATTTGTTATTTGCACTTCGTTCTCTGTGATTTAAGTATATTCTTTGCTCATTTTTAATTGAGTCATTTGTCTTTTCTTGTCAAGTTTTAAGAGATCTTTGAATAACAGGAGTATTCTCTTTTTTTGGTCATCTATGTTACAATATTTTCTTCAAGTTTACTATTTGTTTTTTTTTGATAGTTTATATTGTTCTATATAGTTTAAATTATTGAGAATGTTTAACATGTTTTACATGCTATCTCATTTTTATTCATTATGTTTTAGTATTTTTTTCATATTGGTAATCCCTTGTCACTATTGTTTCTAATGTAAGCCCCATGACATTGTTTCTGGCTTCTTCCTCTTTAACATGGAGATAATAGTACATACTTCATAGGTTTGTTATATGCATGAAATTATGTATGTATAAAACACAGTACTATCTGTTGTTTATGATAATTATGATTCTAACATTATAGTGATTATCCTTCTAATAATTTGACAGGAATTATAGCCTCTTTCCAAGTGAATTATGAAGAACAAGCATGGATAATGTGGAAGCTCATTCCAGCTAATAAGGAGTGGATAAATATCACATTCATTTTAGTCTAACCTTTTGACCACAAGCTATTTCTGGACAAATATCATGAGGTATTATCTTAAAGTTGGTTGTAGTTTCCCATAGGAACACTATTATAATTTAGTTCCACAAATATGAATTAAGCACAATGATCCCCCAGGCATTGTGCCAGGGCCTGGCAAGTTATAAGTATAAGATGCTGTTTCCTGCTCAAGGATTCATAACCAAATGTAAAGAGAAGCCCAGAAACTAGGAACCTTCATACAAGTAAGATTCTGGTGAGTGGGATCAAGTTAGAGTCCAAGGATGGTTCTGAGGTCAGCCTGCGTGGGTTTAAATCCCAGCTCTACCTCTGATAACATGGGTTTTCTAACATTTCTGCATCTTGTTTTCCTTTGTGAAATTGGAATTAACAAAAAAATCTTCATTTGTGAGGTATTGGGAGGATTAAGTGAGGTGATCTCCACAGTGTTGAGAATCCTGGTTTGTCACATGGTAAACCCTCGCAATGTTAGATCTACCTACCATTTTTATTCAGTTGGAGCACAGAGAAAATGCTAATGCATTTTAAGGAGGGGAATAAGGCAACTAGTTAGATTTTTTTTTTCTTTTTTAAGTCAGGAATGGTAAGATCTTGATTAGTGGAAGAAGAGGGCAAAAAAGAAAAGAAAGACAGAGAGGGAGGGAGAAAGGATAGGAAAAAAAGTAATCTGTAGAGAGAATTGCTCAGAATGGAGAGTATTCTGCCTATTGAAGGAACAGCAAATAATGTTTAACTAGTAAAAGAGCTCCAACTGGACTAGAGGGGAGGGGCAGCAGGGCAGTGTGGGTCAGAGTACAGAGACCTCCTTCAATGTTTGCCCCGAAGCTGCTTTCCTATCCAAGGATTCAACCTCAATGAAGGAGACCTTTATGCTGGTTAAAGGAAAGATAATACAACCATAAGCCTATTATTTCAGATGCTAACATAAGCTGAGCACAGTGGCTCACACCTGAAATCCTAGCACTTTGGGAAGCCAAGGCAGGAGGATTACTTGAGCCAGGAGTTCAAGACCAGCCTGGACAATGTAGTGAGACCTATCTCTACATTTTTTTTTTAAATTAGCCAGACATGGTAGTCTGTGCCTATGGTTCCAGCTATCGGGGGGCTGAGGTGGGAAGATTGCTCGAGACAGGAGGCTGAGGCTGCAAGGAGCTGCGATTGCACCACTGCACTCCAGCCTTGGGCAACAGAGTGAGATCCCATCTGGAAAAAAAAATGCTAAAATTCAGTACCAAATCTTGTAACATGGATATAATTCTACCATAAGATGACCTCAAATATTATGATGTACCAAATAGGCAAAACAACAAGAAGTAGAACCGTATGCAGAGGAAGTCACCTCCCTGACACCCAGTGCCGTGAAGATCAAGATCATCACATCCCCAAGAGCGCAAGTGCTCTGTGTGGATTGGAGGCTCCATCCTGGCCTCACTGTCCACCTTCCAGCAGATGTGGATTAGCAAGCAGGAGTACAACAAGTCAGGCTCCTCCATCATCCACCGCAAATGCTTCTAAATGGACGGTGAGCAGATGCGTAGCATTTGCTGCGTGGGTTAATTCAGAAGTATAAATTTGCCCCTGGCAAATGCATATACTTCATGCTAGCCTTACAAAATAGGAATAAGCCTTTGAAAATAAATTGTCCTTGAAGCTTGTATCTGATATCAGCACTGGATTATAGAATGTGTTGCTGATTTCGACCTTGTATTCAAGTTAACTGTTCCTTTTGGTATTTGTACATATCTTTGATTTCAGCTCTTAGTATGTGTGGGTTGGTCACTTTGTGGCTGAGGTAAGAATGTGCATATAGAAGACAAGTCTGTGGCTTGGTGGGTCTGTGTGGCCAGCAGCCTCCAATCTGGGCAGGGTATTAGTGTGTCAGGGCTGAGTGCTCTGGGATTCTCTAGAGGCTGGCAAGGGCTCCTGAACCAGTGGTTTCTGTCCTGCCAGTCTGTCAGGGAAAATCCAAGCCATAGGACCCAGTTTCTTTTCTTAGCTGATGTTTTCCTGCCAGAACACCATGGGCTGTTACTTGCCTTGAGTTGGAAGCAGTTTGCATTTACACCTGTAAGTGTATTGATCCTTTTAATTTATGTAAGGTTTTTTTGTACACAATACTCGATTCTTTTTTTTTTTTTTTTTAGGTGGAGTCTCGCTCTGTCACCCAGGCTGGGGTGCAGTGGTGCAATCTTGGCTCACTGGAACCTCTACCTCCCAGCTTCAAGTGATTCTCCTGCCTCAGCCTCCCAAGTAGCTGGGATTACAGGTGCCCACCGCCACAGCCAGCTAATTTTTGTATTTTTAATAGAGATGAGGTATCACTATCTTGCTCAGGCTGGTCTTGAGCTCCTGACCTCGTGATCCACCTGCCTCAGCCTCCCAAAGTCCTAGGATTACAAACGTGAGCCACCGCACCCAGCAATTCTCAATTCTTTAGAGAGATGAGAACAAATTTTTGTTTCCTACTATTATGTGAGAACATTAGGCCCCAGCAACACATCATTGTGTAAGGAAAAATAAAATTGCTTCTATACAAAAAAAAGGATGTTTAAAACATGATTATTGATTCAATTTATTTAACTACTATAGGTGGATTCACATTATTTTTGTTTGTGTTAATCTTGGTAGATTGTATTTTTCAAGAAAATGATCTATTTTATTTAAGTCATCAAACTTGCAGGTATAGAGTTGTTTATAATATTTCTTCATTATTATTTTAATGTCCATAGAATCAGTAGTGGTGGTCCTGTTATTTTTATAATAAATGACATAGAGGAAGAGGATTTTCCATTTTAAATCATAATAAAGTACCAGTCAGTCAATCAACAAATGTTTATTTAGAATCTATAATAGACCAGGTATTGATTTAGGCCTAGCAGTGAACAAAATTAACGTCCCTGTTCTTACTGAGTAAGCCACCTTTATTCTATTGGGAGAGAGAGAGTAAAGAATTTCAATATATTGAATAAATAAAGTTTGACATAATTGAGATCTTCACCATATATCTCATGCTATAATAAATAATCCGTCTACACATCCCATTTCAAACTTAGGACAACTCTGTGAAGTACCTATTGAACAGATAACAAAACTGAACTCAGAGGAAATGAACGTCAAAGCCACTAATGTGGTAAAGCCAAAATTTTAACCAAATCTGATTTCAGAGCTCTGACCCAGAAAGCTCTGCTGCCCACATCAGCTATTCAGATGTTAACGTTCTGTGTTTTAAATTACAGAATGATACATACCTGAGATAGGCCTCTTCAAATCTTCCTTATAAATTAGAAACTAAAGACTTTTCAAAAAGAAATACTTTCAACTTTTCCAGAAGCTTTAATTTTGCCTAATAAGATGTGAATTGACAGGATCTATTATTTAGAATGAGTAGCGCACTGGGAGTACTCTCAGCAAATCCTTTGAAATTGATAAAAATATGAGCTCTAATCGGACAGAGATCATTCGTTACACCATTCCAAAGTTCTCTGTTATTTTCTGTGACGTTTCCCAAATCATCTAGAGAGTCAAGCTGTTAGAACAGTTTCTTTTATCAGCCATCTCCAAAGGCTCATCAAACTGAAACTTATATATATATATATATATATATATGTATATATATATATATATATATATATACATATATATATTTTAATCTCTGTGGCACTTGCCACAGATGGAACCTTTAGAAGATGATATTGTTGGTGTCTAGCCTTAGGTTAAGATCAACACTTGATGGGTGATTTTAACATTAATAAAAACAGCTAGCTTAATGTTAAGCCTTTGTTTTTTAAAAGACCAAAGAGAAGAGAAATAGAATAACTACACTTGGGAGTGTGATCACCAAGTATACTTTAAATGTGAAAATTCAGTGAAAACTCTACTTTCAAATTTTATTCTTAATATCCATTACTCAGATTTATACTTTGTCATTATGTGCTTATAATTATATCTAATTTCATGTTGGTGTAGATATCTTCACAGACATCTAATACACATATAGTTGTTGGTTTTTTTTTTTTTAACTATATGTATGGGTTGGCTGGGTGCGGTGGTTCCCACCTGAAATCCTAGCACTCTGGCAGGCTGAGGTGGGTGGATTGCCTGAGCTCGGGAATTTAAAACCAATCTGGGCAACACAGTAAAAGCCCATCTCTACTAAAATGCAAAAAATTAGCCAGGAGTGGTGGCATGTGCCTGTAGTCTCAGCTTCTGGGGAGGCTGAGGCAGAAGAATTGCTTGAACCCAGGAGGCGGAGGTTGCAGTGAGCTGAGATCTCGCCACTGCGCTCTAGCCTGGGTGACAGAGCAAGACTCTGTCTCCAAAAAAAGAAAAGAAAAATAGTGTGTGTTTTATTCCAATTTTTTCCCCTTCAGGTTTACAAAAAAAATAGTGCCTCAGATGACCACTTCTTTGTCGTTCTTTATAAAACAAATAAAGAAACATCAACATTGTTAAAGAACACCCAATGAAAAATATAGCTAACAACTTCCTGAAAACTCTTACTAAACCCAAAAACTAGATTACAGCCTGATTAGCTTGTCTGTGGGCTGGTTCCAGTTTCCAGACTTAATATTATACTGGTGGGAGCAGCAGTATTGGTTTCTAGAGATTGCCCATTTATAAAGCATCATATAACGTTGCTGTTATACCGTTCACATGGGTTTGGGAAAATGGGGAAAGCATCATTACTTATCTTTCAAATTCCCATTACAGTTTTTTCTATAGCTTTTCTTTATTTCTTTTGTTTCCTTATAGGTAAAATGGAATGACAGGCCAGGTGTGTTTCTGAGAGTTCCATTGTATCTGAAGATGATACTTGATTCCTGAAAATGGATTGTGTTCTTTGTTGACATCTGGAAAATCACTTTCTTTATTACAGGATGCATGGTTAAGGACACAGTCTGAGGCCAGACAGCCAGGTGCCATCCCAGCTGTGCCACATGTGAGCTGCATAATTTCAAGGAAGTCACTTAAAATATTTTCGTGTCCTAACTTGTAAATGGGCATATGGTATTACTTATATCTGGACCCTTGGAAATATTACATAAATATTAGCTTATTATTAATGATAGCATTTATTCCCAACACATGAGTAGTATTGTGTTTTTATATTCCTGCTCTAGCTGATAGAAAAGTCAGTTGGGTCTGTAATTTTGACTTCCTCTATTAATATTTCTAAAGCCAGTTCATCCAAATGCTTCAGCATGTGTTTTTTTAAAGGAGGTCATGAAAGAGCCAATATTTAGAAGATTAGTTTTATATTGCAGTTGATTTCAGAAAATGTTTTGAGTCCTGCAATGTACGTCAATTTTTTTTTTTTAAAAAGACACCCAATAAACATCGGGTTTTTTGAAAACCAGGACCATATCTCCAGAACACTTGAGAAGCTTTTTTCCCACTCACTCAGGAAAAGACATGCCAAGTTCAATTGTTGTTAGTCAGGTAATTTAAGCTAAAAGAATGTGATTTCTCCCAAAGAAATGTGGTGAAGACAAATAGTCTGTACTCATATAGAAAGTGCCAAGGGATCCATCGTAGATATTGCTTTTCAGGAGCTGAGTGAGGTGAATTTAGAAAGTATGGATTTGAATTGCCTGGTCAGTCTTATACCCTCCAAGTGGCTGCATAAGCACAAATTAGGAAAGCATCATTGTCCATGAAAGATAGACTCCATTCCAAATGAATGTTTAACTGTTAGATTCATCCAAAGGAAACTTCCCTCTAGTTCCCTTTGTCTTGGTTTATGCTTTGACATTTCCAAAAGCATCGGTGTTAAAATCTCTCTGCCATACAATTAGCTATGATATCTGCTTTTCTAGTCCCAAGAGTAATTTCTAGACAAAGCATTGCAATGGAGATATGCATGCAATGCAAGGTATAGGAATGCACTTTGATGATTTTCTACCTGTGAAAACTATGTGCTCCATGTGAAACTTCACTTTCTGTTTTGGCATGAGAGATACTGAAATATGGTTGGGTTACAAGTTAAACAGTAAAAGTTTGGCCACTCCCTATTAGTAAAGGATAACACCAGCTTTTCATGGCTCACACCATTGGTGGGAGAATAGAATAACCTCTTCAATGAAGTGTAAGGTTATACAAAGTAAGTCTCAGGCCAGATTTGTTCATTGGATATTTACTGTATGAGGCAGGCATTGCCCTGGGAGCTGGTGCATGTGAGCAAGATGGAGTCCCTGCCCTGGACAGGTGCAGGAGAAACATTCCAAAGGAATGTAGGAATGTAAAATGCATCCTGGTAGATTTCAGTACATCATTTAAACTTCCTAATAACCCCGAGGAAAAGAAAGGCTAAACAACAAGCCCAACATCACAGGTGACTGTGTTAGACAAGTGATAAGACCGAGTTCAATAATAATGAGCATTAAGTAAAAATCAGAGATAATAAGGGCTACAATTCAGGTACATTACATCTATCAGGGGAAATGAATTCTACGCTGTGCATTAATGAGAAGGTGGGAGTTTATTTGGTTTCTGTGGGATGCAAACAATGAAAAAGGAGAGTATGTGCATGAGAGAGGAGAGATTGAGGGGGTGGAGAGAGAAAGAGAGAGAGAGAGAGGGGGAAGGAGAATTGCAGGTGGGCGGTAAAGAACAAAAGATTTCAGAGGTAGGAAACGCCTTGTTGCATCCAGAGGATGTTGAATGGAGCGCTGGGTTGACGTGAGGCAAAAAACCTGGAGATGCATCTTGTGGAGGTTAAGGTCCTTGGAGAAATAAGCCCACGGAAGGTTTTGCAGAGGGTAGTTTTTGGAGATTACTTCTAGGGAAAGAAGTGAATTTAGGACATGAGAAAGTGTGGGTCTGAACTGCCTGATCTGATCTTTCCTCTGGAAGTGGAAGAGTGGTTTAGGATGATTAACTTGTGTGCATGATAGATTAGAAGTGGCAGCAGAGGGGGCGCAGTTATCAGTCCATGGCATAAGTCCAGATGAGAAGAGAAAATGTTCTGGGAAAGGTTGGTATGGTGGTGATAGCTAATTGTGTACCCCTCCATCCATCATCCCCTTCCTTCACAGGAACGGAAACCTAATTTTCCACTGGGCACAGTTCCAGCTACCTCTGAAGCATCGTGGTTTTTACACTCCTTGC